CTACAACGTGTAAAAATATAAAGTAAGCTCTGGCGGCCTTGGTTCTATAGTAGGTCTTAAAGGGCTAAGACAAGCAGTTATGACACCTTTGAGTTTGTCTCCACTGTAGCTAATGACAACATCTCCGGGAGCCAACATCACGATGCAATGCACTCCAGCTAACTTCAGTGGACTCTGGGGGTTGGGCTAATAGTAATTTATTTCATTTCATTTTTAATTTATACCTGCCGATCAGCTGACACTCACAGGAAAAAAACAGGAAGTCTCCTGTTGCAAAAAAATCAGTATACCATCTTACAAACTCAGCTGTCACATGTTTGTCCTCCGGATTTACAACATGGATTGAAATTGAAAACCTGTTCATAAAGTCCCAGGATAGAGTCACCTGAGGCTCCAGTAAAACAGACTAGTCTGTGTGTGGTACTGTGAGCCACACTACGCTCCTCCCCTGAGATTGATGCTCCAACACTCTATCACCATCACCTCCATCAGAGTAGCTCTCCTCACTGGGGCTCGTGCCCACATCCCTCTGGGCTTTTACTCTGCACGACCCCCACCTGAACTGCGCCACTGACGTACATTAATACACACGGTAACCCGGGGCCGTACGCTCCATACAGCATGAACTGCTTTATGGTAATGTCATTGGTGAGAGAAATGCCTGTGCCCTGACATTTATCCATTAATTCAGATGTTGTGTAACAGCAGTAAAGGGCCCGTACCCATCATCAGTGTGCCAAAGATAAGCCGTTACATTTCCTGGAGGCCTTCAGGTTATTTCTCACAGTCTTGGCGGTATGATAAGTTTTGCGTTTGTCATATTGTGGTATAGTTTGCATTGAAGATGGCAGACATGATACTGACCTTAGACTAAAAATCTACTTTTTTTCTATTGTTTCTTTGTGGAAGAGGCTTTTCTGATGATGATAAAGTTGAACCAAATAGTGAGTAAACTATTGTTGCAAACAGTGGTTCATATTTGGTTTGAATGCAGTCAGTAACCATCTATGGTGGACTATGGATGTTGTCAGTAATTAGCTGTGGAGGCCTCCATCGTTCCTGAGGATTGGTGACACAGTCAGAAGGTTTGTGTCCTAGCTAACATGCTAGCTAACGTGCTAGCTAATGTGCTAGTTAACGTGCTAACTAGCGTGCTAAAACCACATGAGATCTTTACATTGTGGTTTTTTCTCCCCCTGCTAAATGTTTCACTCTCAACTTACAGGAAACAAAAGAAAAAACTCATAATGGCAGCATGTTAGTCCTCTTCAGGGAATCGCTCCTGGATAGTATTATTGGGCTAATCAATAATGGCAGTTAAACAGTGACTGTGCAGTGATTCATCGCCTGTAAATGCATACACTGAATCTGCTGGCCTTTGCCTGTTCAGGTCAGTGTCAGACCATGCTAATTTTCCTGGAAACAGCTGAACAGTAAGATGGCTCACAGGGGGGAGGTTTGTTGACGGGAAGGGAAGATCAGTGTCGGGTCGGCGGTTCTGAGGTACTGGATCTGTCTGACAGGCTGCCTGCTAGAGGAGTAGGCCGCTGGGAGAGTTTCAAGCAGACACAAAAGCAGAGGGTGATTAATGGTTTTCAATACCACATGTGGAACTATGTAGTCATTCTCTGTTGCAGGAATAATTGAGGGGTTTCATTCAATACAACTACACTGCATACCTCCTTCAGGAAACAGATACCAAACGACTCACGGACCAATACCGGTCCATGGCCCGGGGGTTGGGGACGGCTGGTGTAGAGCGCTCGCAGCGCGGCTGCTAGATTGTGTTTCCTAACATCTACTAATAGTTTATAGACACTGTTTGGTTTTTGTTGGAATTTCCAAATCTGTGTTAAT